TATATATATATATATATATGTGTGTGTATATATATATATATATATATATATATATATATATATATATATATATATATATGTATATATATATGTATATATATATATATATATATATATATATATATATATATATATATATATATATGTGTGTGTGTGTATATATATATATATATATATATATATATATATATATATATATATATATATATATACAATTTTTTTTTCTTATACATCTGTGGATATATATATGTATATATATGTATGTATACATATATATATATATATATATATATATATATATATATATATATATATATATATATATATACATACATATATATATATATATATATATATATATATATATATATATATATATATATATATATATATATTATACATATACATGCATACACACACACACACAACACACATACACAAACATATGTATATATATATACATATACATATGTGTGTGTGTGTGTGTGTGTGTGTGTGCGTGTGTATGTATATATCGATATTTATAGCCATTCAATTATTCCATAAACGCTGCAAAACAGTCACATTAAGAATTAAAAACCCTACCGTCCCTGTCATGTCATTTTCCTCTTTCGATAACCTCCCTACAAAGAATAACTCACCATTGATATTCGCTGTGTGTGTGTGTGTCTGTGATGCTAAAGTTGCCATGTAAACAGAACAACGAATAAAAGAGAACAAGAAAGCGCATGGATAATAATTCTTTCTTATTCTTTCCTTTGTTGTTTTATTCATAATTGATCCCAGCGTGTTACCTTGGCAATGAATTTACGCGTGTGAATGTGAGTCACTTTATTTCTTTTCTTTATTTGAAATTCACTTGCCTAATGCTCACTGGCTGCAATTTGCACACTTCCGCACCCAAAAACGTCTCGTGTTGAAGGTTATTCATTGATTGAGCTCATGACCATGCAATGAGTTATAAGATAGTGTTTTTTTTTTCCTTTGTGTCTTTCTTTCGTTATATAGTGTGTTGTTATGTAAGAACAATTTCGGAATCTCACCTTAACATTGGGTATTGATGTTTGTTCTAAATGAAAAAAAGTTTGTGAATGTGTTTTCTTTTTATATCTTTGATCTTTTGAAATTCATTTTTTTTTCTATGTGTAATATTCATTATGTTTTCCTTTCACTGTGCGCAGGTTTTCTAAAATAAAAAGGAAAAAAAATGTAAGTCTACTCTGAAAACAAATACAAAAAAAATGTAAATGTGTTTTATTGCTATATCTTTGATCTTTGTGAAAGTCGAGCCTTTGTTCTGTGTAATATCTATTTTATTTTCCTTTCACTGTAAGCAGAATAAAAATATGAAAAAGAAAAATGGTCCTTCTTTCGCCTTAGCCACTTTCAAAAGCGAGCTGATCTTGCTTCACAATTAACTACTATGAATGACCAGAACAATACACTCATCAACCTTGTTATAAAAGGAAAATACGAAAATACATCAAATTACAATACATAAAGAAGATTAAACCCACGTCCATTACTTAATTCCTCCGAGACATCAAAGAAACATAAAAAAAAAAAAAAAAATGGGCCATACGATAATAGCTTCATAAATCTTCATTCCAGTACAGGGGCTATGGAGATCCGCCGTCAGTAATAGATCACACCGTAAAAAAATGACACCCTCTGTTTATAATAACACACACTCCAGCTTCTACTTTTGCTCCTTGATGGCTAGACCTTTCCCAGATCTCCTGACCTTGGCCCGGTTTCGAAGACCTGACTTATGGCAAGCTCTGTTCCAGTAATTGGAGGCTGATTGCTTCGTTTATTACTTGTTTACGACGTGATGGGCGAGGGTTTCCTACGTGTGTACTTGGCAAGGAAAACCTTAAATATTATATATGCACACACACACACACACACACACACACACACACACACACACACACACACACACACACATATATATATATATATATATATATATATATATACACATTCATGTATATATACATGTATATGGATAGATAGAGGAAATGCTATATAGATATATAAATAAATAGGTAAATAACTAGACAGGTAAATAAATAGCTAGATAGCTTGCTATATATATATATATATATATATATATATATATATATATATATATATATATATTCATATAAACACACACACACATGCGCATATGTATATATATATGTGTATGTGTGTGTGTGTGTGAATGTATGTGTGAGCGTGTGCCTATGGATATATGGATGTATGTATGTATACTAAATACATAGATTTGGATACTGATGTATCGTTCAATAATTAATAACAAATAAATACCAATACTTCGATCTGACTAACGGGCTGATGACATTCTTGTAAACATTATCACCATAACAGGCTCAGGTATACAAACGCATTATAGGAGGAAGTTAAGAGTGCGTTAACCTTGTTGGTGTCGCAGGACGCTTGTTGTGGCGAGGAGGGACGAGTTACATAGTGACTGTGCATCTTCTCCTTGTAAGTTTTTTTTGTCGAGTCAGACCTTTCTCTCTTGTCCACTGTTTCTTTGTACATAAACGTTAAAAAAAATCAGAAGGAAAAGATAATAGCAACGTAGCATTGGTTCCTTGGCTGTTTGGTTGTTATGTGATTTTTATCGCCCCGTAACAATTCATCTTTCCTGTTATTATGTCGGTTGTTTAAAGCTTCTTCGTGGTCTTTTCTTGTTGATACTAGGAAGTATGTGGTCATGTGTTGGTAGCCTTCGTGAGATCATATGACTTTTTATAAACGTATAATAAGACACCGACGTGTGTGTGCGTAAACAATTATATACATACATAGATCACACACATACGTTTCACATATACAAACACACAGACACATATATACATCTACATATACACATATGTATCCATATACATATAAACATAAATGTATGTATCTACTTTAGTTCATAAACACCAACACTTCACTCATGACGTTTAATCGCTAAGTAATAAAAGTGCAGCACAAATGCAGTACGTTTTTGCAGGAGAAACCGTATAATTTCGAGGTAATTACAAAAAAATTAACACATTCCCCTGATTACTAGTTGTTAGTTGGGATTAGGAAGCAATGGTATTTTTATGTTTCTGTCGTTGGCTCTTTGTCTCCTTCCCTGTCTCTTTCTTTTCCTTTTTTTTCTTTTTATCAGACTATGTTTGTATCTCTTTTTACTTGTTTGCCTGTCTCTTTACATCTATCTATCTTTATTTGTCTCTCTCTATGATCTATATACCCATATATGTCTTTCTATATATATATATTTTTTTTAATATCCATAATACTATTCAACATAACATTAGTTAACCACAACAAATATATTTTTAGCATTAAAAGATCATAATCACACACACACACAAAACACAAACTCACATAGACATCAATACCATTATCAATTTATACACATTAAGCGCTTCTTCATAAAAAAAAAAAAAAAAAAATGCATTTCCCTTAAAATTATCAATATCTATACACATCGTCCTCTAAGATATGTAATGCTTTTTTTTTTTAAGAATTAGGTCCCTGGCGTAGTACAGGAAGAGGTCTTGGTGCCGCTGACAAGGAGAAAAAAATTGTTCAGACGATAATGGTATTGGTACAATTGGTTCTTATACTGATTTTATTCATGGCTAGTTTAATTGTTAATTTCACAGTATGGTTTGATTTTTTTTCCCCAATGACTCTTTAGAAAAAAAATGTTAGAAAATTGTTTAAAAAATGATAATCGGGAATAGCAAATAACTAAAACTGATTAAAAGAAGAATTGTTGTACTGGAAAGCGTAGTACATATTTTTAGTTATAATAACGGCCTTTATTGGGAGCTCAATTATTCTAGACGTGGTCTCTGATGAAAAACTTTAACATGTATTGAAGAGATATTTTTAAGGTATAAAAAAATCTTTATGATACACAAACACATACACACACACACACGAAAACACAGCCACAGACACACACTCACACACACACACTCACACATACACACTCACACATACACACTCACAAACACTCTCACACACACACACACACACACACACACGAACACACACACATACACACGAACACACAAAGATAAAAAAAAACAGAAAATGAGGGAGAAAAACATAAACAGATGCAGCAGGAGAGAAAATTTGCAACAGCCGGCAAGAAGCAACATCCACTCTACCCTGTGACCGTGGGAGAACTGCACTCTCATCTTGAAAGAAGAAGGAGACATTGATAATCAGTTGGCAACGTGAGTCCGTTTTCTTTGCCGTTTTCTGTGTACGAGGCGATAATGTATTTTTTTGGGGTATTAGTACAGGTGACATATGACAGTTTAATGTATATATTTATATTTTTTCTTTTTATTTTATTTTTAAATATTTTGATAATCTAGGTATTTTTGTTGTATATGTCCCTTCCACACACATACGCACGCAAAAAATGATAATAAACAATCAAATAAAAAATATATATAAATAAAAAGGAGGCCGTTTTTTTGTGAATCGATAATTTTTCCGAGTTTGAGTCCAGATAACGTACCACTTTTTTTCATTTTTTTTTTTTAACATTAATATATTTTTTACTATTTTCTTTTCTTCATTAAGCTTCCGAGGTTACATCATGATAACATTAGTATTTCTAATGTAGAAGAAGAAGAGGAAGAAGAAGAAGAAAAATAATAAAATAATAATAATGATAATAATAAGGAATAAGGAAAATAATGGAAGATTAAGTTAAGAAAAAAAATGAATTAATGTATTTTTCGTCATTTGATCTGGCATACCTTTGACAGCGTATGTATGTGTGTTTGTACGTATATGTGTGTGTGTGTGTGTGTGTGTGTGTGTGTGTGTGAATGGGAATGTGTCATTTTATTCCTGTAACATACCTTGCTCATGTGTTTAGTTATACGTTTACGTTACGTAATTATATCCATCAGTATGTAAACACCCGCAATATCCCCATTTAAAGAAAATAAAGAAAACACCAT